GGGCTGGCCTTGCACTTGCAGCAGCTCCTGCCTCAGTTCCCTAGTGTGAAGTTACAGGCATGCACCACCACGCCCATCTGTTCTGCGTGTTTTACACATCTTGTTGGTCTGTTGGTCTATTAGTCTGGCTGTTAATCTGGTTTCATAATAATGAACTTGATATACACATCAAGACTTAAAACCACAAATGCAAACCCACCTGGACAATTTGGCAAGATCTTTCTCAAAACAAAAGTGAGTAGGGCAACGGCTCAATGCAAAAGCTTTGAGTTCAATCCCCTGTACCATCAAAGACATGAAAAATTGGCAATGGGGTAGAGGGGCACACACCTGTAATCTCAGCATGTGGGAGGGCTGAGGCAAGAGGATTTCAATGAGTCCAAGGCCAAGCCTAAACAACACACACGCACACACTTTTAAAAATGAGAAAACCAATTTTGGTAGTTACTGAGTTGATTTTATTTCAATTTTTAAAACTATGATTATTAATTACAATGTATCCAAGTAAAACAAGTCTCTAAAGTAACAAGGTCCTAGCTCTAGCAATACCACTAAATCAAGCAATTTTTTGTATTCTTGTGTTTGACCTCTCTACATCTGTTTCATCTTTGGAAGGATTAAATGAGATAATATAAGTGGAATACTTAAAAAAGTGCCTAGCAAATGTCAGTCTTCAGTGAACAATGCTCGTGGCACCCACTTGTAGTCCCAGCACTTGGGAGGTTGAGGCAAAAAGATCACCAAGTCTGAGGTCAGACTAGACTACAAAATGAGAGCCTGTCTCAAAAAAGATAGAAAGAAAACAATACTTCACATAAATGGAGAACCTCAAGACATAATAGGGTTTTGTTTGTTTGGCTTTTTGCTTGCTTGTTTTGATTTGATTTGGTTTTTTGAGACACGTTCTCTCAATGTGCTTCAGGCTGGCCTTGAACTCACTGTGTTGGCCAGTCTGGCCTTAAACTCAAGAGGATTCTCCTGCCTCAACTTTGAGTACTAGGCTTACAGGCATGTGCCAACAAGCCCAGTAAGGCACAATTATTAATGACAGTAACCCCATGAAGAGAAGGTCTGGCCAGGGAAAAAAAGAGACTTTTGTATTCTTGTGTTTTAACTACATTTCAAAAGTATTTTTTTTCTTTAAACTGATCTCTTGTGCTAAGGAATTTCTTAGTACTTAATACATTGTAGAAGCTGAATTGTCACTACTGAATTCACAAAGGAATATCATAATCTAGTAATACTTGAAAGGAAACATGAGCTGGGGATTTAGCTCAGAGGCATAAGTACCAGCCTTGCAAGCAGGCGTCGTGAGTTCGATCCCTGGTACCCATAAAAATGAAAAAGAAAAAAAAAAAAAAGATTCTGTTTGGGGCTGGGGATTTAGCTCAGTGGCATAAACGCCTGCCTTGCAAGCAGGCAGTCATGAGTTTGATCCCTGGTACCGATAAAAAGGAAAAAAGACAAAAAAAGAAAGGAAACACACCAGCTACAGTTTCCAATTTCAAGAATCTATTGTGTTCTTATTTGCTTCATAATAGCCATAACAGTCTTCATTAAAACACCTTAACCCAAACCAGGTGTCATGGTGCACTCCTCAGCATTTGGAAGGCTAAGGCAGGAGGATCACTGCAGTTTGAGACCAGCCTGGGCTACAAAGTGAGCTCAAGGTCAGCCTGAACTGCAGTTAGACCCTGTCTCAAACAAACAAACACATACCACCTTAAACCAGGGTGGTGATAATTCCAGTAATCCCAGCACTTGGGAGTCTGAGGCAGGAGGGTCCTCACAAATTCCAGACCAGTGTGAGCCATATAGTGACTCCAAGGTAAGCATGAAGTACACAGTGAGACCTCTCTCAAAAACACAAGCAAGAACCGGGCATGGTGACTCACACCTGTAATCCCAGTACTCAGCAGGCTGAGGCAGGTTCCAGACCAGCTTGGGCTACAAAGTGAGCTCAAGGCCAGCCTGAACTACACAGAGACCCTGGCTCAAAAAGACAAAAAAAAAAAAAAAAAAAAAAAAAAAAAAAAAAAAAAAAAAAAAAACAAGCAAGGAAAAAAAAGAAAACCATCTTAACCCAGAAGTTTTATTTGTATCTGGGATAATTTTCTCTCTCAGGGGACAATTTGGCCTAGACATCTTTGTCACAACTAAGGGTATGTACTACTGGACGGAGTGGGCAGTGAGGAATGCTGCTGGACAATCTATGATGCACAGACCGGATCCTTCCCCTAACAATAATCACCCCAAAATACCACTGGTGACGGACTGAAGAAACTGCACCCAAGGAAAGTACCTACAGTTCATTCTTCACTATGGTGACCAATGAAACGATACACCTGATAAACTCTCCTAAGTAACAAATTTGAATCCTTAACCCTGACATACAAGAACCCAAATAAATGTAGCTATTGTTGTTGAAAACTTTCGGAATTGTAGTTGCTAATATGGCTTTGAGTTTTGTGCAATCTACTCAATTCAATACATCTCAAGATTTGTAAAACATTTTTCAACTCTAACAAAAGCTCATCTAAGTGACTTGAACAGATTACATTTCACCATTCATTCCTGTTTTCAAATTGTATCACAAAACTCAAATATACTACTACAGTAAAACAAGGTCTTTAAGTAGATACTGAGTCCTCCCAAATACTACTTGGTACTGGGGATTTAGCTCAATGGCCTAAGCGCCTGCAGGCAGTCCTGAGTTCCATCCCCAGCACCAATACAAAGGAAAAAGACAAAAAAAAAAAAAAAAAAACAAATACTACTTGGTATTTCTGCATTTCAATTAACAAACTACATTGGCTTTGTCTGTGCTGTGCATTCTGAACATGTTAATTAAAAGTGTTTTTAAAAAAAATCAAGAAAATATTAAGACCAGTTCCATCATCTCTAATCAACAAAGCAAAAATATACATATATTGCTAAGTAACTTTAAGGCTTGAAAAAAATACAAATTAAATCATACCTCTACCTTAAAACATATTTTACTGTGCCAGGTGTGGTGTCACCTGTCTATAATCCCAGCTCTAGGAGGTTGAGGCAGGAGGATCTCTGTGAGTTTGAGGCCAGCCTGGGTTATATGATGAGTTCAAGACTAGCCTCAACTGCACAGGAAGTCCTGTCTCCAAAAAATGAAAGAAAAAAAAAAGAGAGAGAAAAAAGAAACCTCCATCCAAAAAAGACATTTTACTGACTTATCAGAAAATCAACCTTTAATAAATAGCTTTAAGTAAAGTGTCTTTTCAATGTTTGGAATACTGTAAAAAAAAATAAGCTGAACTGAGTTTTCACTACAATCCAGCACTGGGTCATGAACAGGGAAGTTCTGACATATTGGTACTGCCATCACTGTTATTAGTCATATTTTACTTTCTTAGTAACTGTGCGACTTTTCTTGCACCTCCTAAAATGTTTTATCTTTTCCATTACGTAAGAGTAATGTTTTAATACTGATTTTGTTCTTTAAATTCTATTTAAAAGTTCACCACATAATAAAAACAGTAAAGAACTCTTAGGGAGATAAAACAAGAACTTAATTTCTTTCTCAAAAAAACTTTTGAAATTGTTCTTTTTTCCCTTTGAAATAAAATGGACTTGGGGGGTAAGACACAGAAAAAGGGTGCTTGGAAATTTAAGATGCAATGAACTTGTGTTCTTCCATTGCTTTTCCCGCATTCGTCCTGACAGAGAGTATCATTAGAACTTCTCCATTTACTTCAAGTCATTCCCCTGACCATCCAGAAAACTTCTAACGCTCGACCAAAGCTGCTTGCTCATGGTCTAATAATAACCTGTATTATACAATCTGTAACACTCCCCGACAATCTTTGCCTTAAGAAGCCATAAAGGTGATTTAAGTAATACCTCAAACATACTCAAATCTCTTTCAAAGACATGTTTTCATTTCAGCCTCCAAGTTCTGCCAAGGGCCAGAGACTGCTGGCGCAGGGTGGGGAGGGGGTAGATCGCCAGGACCGAGAATGACACGCTGGGCGTTGGACAGCAGGCTAAGTGCTGGTTCATCTCTCTTTAAATCTGGCAGCACGTGGGGCGGCATTGTGAAGCCACCAACCCGCCTCCCCCTTCCACTCCGCACACGTACGCCTCCGACGCGCATGCTCCGCGCACACAGTCCTCGCAGAGTAGGAGCCAACCCCCTAAAAAAGTCAACCTGGAAGCCGCAAACGGCCGGAGGCCGGGACAATGGGGGAGGGGGCGCAGGCTGCTCGGTGAAGGCATCCCGGGCCGCCGCCCGAGCCGGAGGGTGCGGGCGCAGCGCCCAGAGGCTGCGGGCCTGCGCGGGGGCCAGAGTGGCCGCGAGCACAAAGCCCGACCCGGCCGGCGAGCGCTCTCCCCAGCGCCCGCTCCTACCCTCCCCCAGCCGGCGGCGCAGCCGGAGCCCGTGCCAGGCAGAGGCAGGCGAGGCGGCGTCCCCCAGCCCGCCGGGCCCCGGGCCCCCGCACCCAGGCCTCCCCGCCGCCGCTTTTGTTGTTGGCCGCAACTCCGCGGACACGACACAGCCCGGGGAGAAGTTTTGCGCGCCTCCCCTCTCCGGCCCCGGCCCAGCTCCCCCGCGCCCGCTCGGCTCCCGCTGCCTGCCGCGATCTGGACCCCCGAGCGGGGCACTCGCACTGCCCAGGCGCTCCCGGGCCCCGCGGCCTCCGCAGCACCTGAGCCGAGACCCGCCCCTCCAAGGGGTCGGCCCGGCCCGGGACCCACAGCCCCTCCCCCGCAACGCCCCACCGCCGAGTGGGGGAGGGGGAGGCTTCCCCCGCCGGCGCCAGGCCCGGTCCGACAGCCGAGGCTGGGTCGTGCCCCCAGGGCCCTCCGGAAGGTGAGCAACCGTGCGGGGCCGACGGAGACCCGAGCCGTCGGCTCCCCGCTCTCGCAGGCCCGGTTCCCCGAGCAGCCAGCCGAGAGGAAGCAGCGGCGGGCACGGCTGTCCGCGCCAGCAGCCGCGGCCCGGCGCCCCGCCGCCGCCCGCTCACCTGCCAGCTGTCTTCTCAGCAGCAGCGCCGACTGCAGCTCCGTCATCCTCCCCGCCGCGGGCCCGGGCTGGCGCCGGGGCTTCTGCAGGTCTGGGACAGGCTCTGGGGGCAGCTAGGGCTGGGTGTGCTGAGAAGCCGGGCCCGCGATCGGAACACCAAAGCCGAGGCAGGCCGGGCTGGGCAGCGAGAGGGACGTCTCGCTGCCGGTGGAGTCCGCTCGGTTCGGCTTTTCTCAAGCGCCTCACGCCCGGAAGGGGAGGGTACCGGGCCGACGCGGCGCGCTCTGGGACTTCGCTCTCTCGCTTCCCTCCTTCAACCCGCCTGTCGGCCCCACCGATGGCCTTCCCCCGCCACTGCCTCTCTGCGCGCAGGGCCTCTCGGCGCAAGCGCGCGGGGCTTGCCTAATTCGGAAGCGTCCCGCCAGCTAGCCCGACCCCTCTGCCTCTCGGCCCCACCTCCGGCGGCGCGGCCCCGCCCCCTGCGCGCTGCTGCTCGACTGCCGCCATCTTTGGAAGGTCCACGCCCGAGCGTCTGCTGAAGCCTCCCTCCTCCGGTAGACGCCCCGCGGGCGCCATGACGAAGAGGTCGTGGAAGGTCAGGTCACCGCCTCCTGCTAGAAGCAGGTGGTCAGAGAGTAAAAGGACCCGAAAGAAGCGTGGTGGATGTCTAGTTGCTGGCAAGTGTCCAGCAGCCATGTAACGCTGCACACATAGTGTGCAAATTAGTCATTGTTAGAAAGCCGACTTAATACTAGTGTCCCCGACTTTAAGCAGTCACCAAAATAGAGAATATATGCTGCTAATGAACTTTTTATAAAGAATCTCCAAAAGGATTCCTGAAGTAAACAAAATATTTTGCATCGCATAGTGTGAAATATTTGAAGAAGTGTCTAAAACTATTCCCCATGAATAACAGAAAAATCGAGTATATATGATTCAAGCGGTCGTTTAGAAAGGCATATACATGTAAAGTCAGTATGTGAAAACCAGATTTTGGAAAACCCTACTTTTTGTTTTTGTTTTTTGGGATAGGGGCTCGCTGTGTAGCCCTTCAACTCGCTACGTAGCCCAAGCCAGCCTCGAATTTTTAGTAATCATCCTGTCTCAGCCTCCCAAATTCTGGAAATATAGGCATACACTGCCACGCCCCGTTGTGAGGAAAAATGCACTACTGTATGGATCATTCTTGCAGTTTTGTGCCTTGTCAATAATGCAGTGTCCGGCTGGGCTTGACACAGGCCTGTAATCCTAACACTCAGGAGGGTGAAGCAAGAGGATCCCTAAGTTTGAGGCCAGCTTGGGGTACAGAGCGAGTTCAAAACCAGTCTGAACTACATAGCGAGACCCTGTCTCTAAATAAATAAGTGAAAAGGAAAGATTAACACCTCAAATTTTTCTATTCCTTCAATAAATGCTTGTTAAACCGGTACTAACTTTATCTTTGGATTGCAAAAGACCCAGTGTATAGGAGACAGCTGTATTCCTTCCCTCAAAGAAGGGCCCAAGTAAAGTAAACAGGAGAAACATTCTAAAATAGCTTTTTAAAATATATATTATAAAAATTACTGAACTAGCTGGGCATGGTGGCACAGGCCTATAATCCCAGCAGTTGAGAGACAGAGTAGGAAAATCACCATAAATTTGAGGCTACCCTGGGCTAAAACAGTGAGTCCAAAACCACTCTGAACTAGATAGAAAGACCTCATCTAAAAAAAAAAAAATACTGAACTAAACCAGGTGTGATGGAATACTCTTGTGATTCCAGTGTCCAACAGGCTGAGGCAGGAGGATCACATATAAGAAATAGATCATCTGCCTTGATTCCTTATCTGATCAGAAGCTGGCTGTGGTGGTCTGTGCCTCCAATAAGAGAGACTGAGGCAGGAAATTCTCAAAATTGAGACTAGCCCTGACAATTTAGCCAAACCCTGTCTCAAAACAAAAACTAAAACTAGGAGCCAGAGATATACTTCTGTGCTCCAAGGATTCAATCCCCAGGACCATACACACATACAAAATAAAATGAATAAGCCAGGGGGCTGGGGGTTTAGCTCAGAGGCATAAGCGCCTGCCTTGCAAGCAGGCAGTCGTGAGTTCGATCCCTGGTACCAATAAAAAAACGAAAAGGACAAAAAAAAAAAAATGAATAAGCCATGAGAAAAACCATTGCAAACATTTTTTTTAGGGAAATGTTTCCAGGAAAAAAAAAAATAAGGAATGGAATGGGATTGCTTTTGGCAGCAGGAATGAGGAAGAGATGCTACAAGGCACACTTGTTTTTCACTACAAATGTTTACATTGTTTATGACCAATATGTATCTGTTCTTTGATAAAATTATATTTAAAATGAAAGCGTTTGGTTCAGAAAACAAGACTGTTGTTGTAAGTGGATTTATGGTAAAACTAGTGAAGTTCAGGGTCATAACTTTCTCCTACTTGAGGGCAGAAATTTGTTATAGGTGAGATGGAATCAGATTGCAACAAGACAGCATTTTTTGTTTGTTTGTTTTGCTTTTTCTAAGATAGGATCTCACTGTGTAGTTCAGGCTGGCCTTGAACTCACTATGTAGGCCACTCGGGCCTCAAAACTCATGGTGATCCTCCTCCTCGACCTCCTGAGTGCTGGGATTCCAAATATGCACCACCACATCTGGAGCAGCCCTGTCTCTCAAAACCTACAATTAATACCATTTTCACCAGTTAAATACAAAGGGTGATTGAAATATACAGTTAATGTTTAAATTTTTAAAACTGTATTAAAGTAAAAAACATATTGTCAGGGCTGGGATTTAGTTCAGCGGCATAAGCACCTGCCTTGCAAGGAGGCAGTCATGAGTTCCATCCCCAGTACCGATAAAAAGGAAAAAGACCAAAAGAAAAAAAGATAATAATAAATTTTAAAAAAAACAAAACATATTGTCGGTGTGGTGGCACACGCCTATAATCCCAATAGGATTGCAAGCTGAGGCAGGAGGATCTCAGTGAGTTCCAGGCTAGCCTGGGCTTCATGAGCAAGTTCAAGAACAGCCTGCACCACATAGCAAGACCTTGTTTCAAAGACGAAAATAAAATATGGGATGATGATGCAAGCCTGTGATCCCAGTACTTGGGAGGCTGAGGCAAGTGAGTCACTTTGAGTTTGAGGCCAGCCTGGGATACAGAGTGAGACCCTGTCTTAAAAAAAAGAAATTAGCCAGACAGGCTTGTAATCCCAGTAATCAGCAGGCTGAGGAAGGAAGTTTGCTGTGAATTCAAGGCCAGCCTGAACTGCATAGGGGGCATATTCAAAAAGACCAAGAAAACTCACATTGTCATTAATCCCCCTCAAAACACACCCCCTAGTTTAAAAAATTTTTTTCACTGTTCTTATCCAGTGTGTGTGTGTGTGTGTGTGTGTGTGTGTGTGTGTGTGTGTGTGGTGTTTGTGTGTTTTTTGGTTTTGAGACAGGATCTTCCTATGGAGCCCATCCAGGCTGGCTTCAAACTCTTGGTGATGCTCCTGCCTTAGCATTGGGTTACAGGCATCCCCAGAAATGTCAGATTAGCATATGTATAAATAAGGCTGGAGTGGGGGAAACCACAGCTTTAGATATAGGATTGGAGAGGCCATTAAGTTTCCTTTTAGGCTGCTGAAATTTTTTTAAAGCCCTAAAAATGAGACATGAAGCCATAGTCATTTGGAGGTCAGACAGAAGAGAAGGAGCCAGCAACAGAGGCTGAAAGGGAATGGAACAAGAGTGACCCAATGTGTGGTGTACGGAAAGCTAAGCCAGGAAAATTGTCCCAGGTGGCTAGCAGGGCGAGCTGCCACCTGCCGCTGAGACAGAGGGAAGCAAGGGTTGAGACAGGTGCTGCGTTTTGAAACTCCAAGGTTTTACTGCCCTGGATGGAGCATTGTGACAGCAGTGCTTCCAGCAGGCAGAGCAAAGGCCACGTGGAAGTGAGGAAGTGACAGGCTCTACCCCAAGTGCTTCTTTGATGTTTGTGGTAGTAAACCGAAAGTACAGTGGGTCCAGTTGAGTTCTTTATTTTTTCCTGTTCTGTGCACTGCTCAGGTGCAGTCCTGGCCAGCTTTGGGCCACATTCAGCGCTGTAGATCACCCAGACAAAGTGGGGAGAAAGGCAGAGGCAGGATCTATGGGGAAAATGAGTGTAGTCATCGAATGTGCCATCAGCTAGGAAGAGAAGAAAGCAAAAGTGGGGGAGTTGTGTTTTTTGTTTGTGTTGTGTGTAGCCCAGGATGGCCTTGAATTCACAGTCCTCCAGTCTCAGCTGAGATTAGAGGCATGTGATGGATTTTAAGTGGTACAGCAGGGCTTGACGAGGTTGCAGAGTTGTGCAGGTTAGACACTAAGCAAGTGAGCTGGAAGGTAGGAAATTGTGGTCAGGGGAGGTGGCTCGAAATGGAGAATTTAAGTGTGGTGTGGTTATGGGTGGTGAGACTGGTGGGAAGGAGATACTGGCCAGCAGCATGGGCGAAGAGAAAGCCCAGCCAGTGGCAAGCAGTGCGGGTATGGGTACCAGACCACTGCCCACAGGAGTAATGAAGTCCTGCAGAGGACCAGGGGGAGGAAGGTGAAGACAAAGACTGTGAAGCAGGTGCCAAACCACTGACAAATGCATCTACAGATAACAGCAAGAAAGGAGGCGACAAGTGGGATAGCTGGGTGGCACTGACCTCAAAAGAGCCAGGGTCAGAGGAAGGAAAAGAAAGAAAAAAGGTCAAGAGTCAGCAGTGGGAAAGAAGAATGTGCTGAGCCTGCTGGCCCTGGATCCTTAGAAGGTGGGAGGAAAGATAGCCTTCCCTTGAGAGGGCCGAGGAAGTGGAGTGGAGCACTCCCAAGAGAGCCTGGAAAGCCAGAAGGTGGAGAAGAGCCCAGCAACACCCCAGACTGTCCTGACCTGAACTCACTGTCTCCTCCCCGACCTGCTCTGGCATAACCAGCAGTTTCCAACCAGATGGGTCACCAACAGGAGAAAAGGAGGGTTGCCCTCCATGCCCCTCTACTGATCACCAAGACCCAAGTGTCCCCATGGACACTCCGAAATGCAAGCCTAGATGACAGCCACAGCCTCCCAAGGCTCCACTGGCCACTGGTCTTGGCCCTGCTTTCCTCTGTATTCTGTAGTCAAGCAAGATGTTCCGAATGCAAATCTGTAATGGGTTCCACCTCTCCTTAAATGCTAGCAG